TGTGCCAAAGGAAAAAACAGTGAGAATTTAGGAGAAACATCGGAGAGAATGGCTAGGAAGAGATTGGCAGTTTCAAATGAGAAGGCCCCTGGTGGGCAGTTGCTCCTTATGGGAGGAGAGAAGGTTTTAGATATAGTGGGTTCTTTTGAGTCCAGGGCTACTACTAGTACTGATGCTAGCTCACCTCTGAAGATCCAAGAGAAAAAACGTCACAAAAGAGATGATGGTACAGTTGAGATGGAAGATGATCTGTCTGGATCGGCGGCGGCCCGTGAGGGCGACCGCCAGGACCAATGAAAATCTTAAGCTGGAATTGCCGAGGTTTGGGGACGCCCTCGGCAATTCGGTCGCTGTCGGAATTACTACGGCAGCATAGTCTTGATGTTCTTTTCCTCTCGGAGACTCACTTGAATGATTCGAGCGGGGAAAGATTGCGTGTGAAGCTTGGCTTTGATAGTAAGTTTGTTTCACCGAGCGATGGAAGGGGTGGAGGTTTGATCATGATGTGCAAGAACAATGTTAATATGCAGCTGAATTATTATCACGACAACTTTATTGATGTTGTGGTCAAAGGAGCGGATCCTAGTATAGACTGGAGGTTAACGGGTATGTATGGTGAGCCGGTTTGGAGACATAAGCATCGTACATGGAAACGTTTCCGTGATCTACATGCCAAGGGTAATCTGCCTTGGGTTGTGATAGGGGATCTAAATGAGATTTTGTATTCATCAGAGAAAGAGGGAGGTAATGCGAGATCCTTATCATATATGTCCGCGTTTAGGGATTGTTTGGCTGATTGTTCGCTAGAAGACCTTGGTTATATTGGCAACAAATTCACTTGGAAGAGGGGGAGAATCAGAGAGAGACTGGATAGAGCTGTGGGGAACATGGCATGGGCTGGTATGTTTCCTGATGCAGTTGTGCACCACCTTACTATGGGTGGTTCGGATCACAGGCCGATTATGATCGACACATCTACGTATACTTTGCCTACTAGCGGCACTAGCAGACGGCGAAAACGCTTTGAAGGCAAATGGCTAAGGGAGGAAACAGTGGGTGATTTGGTGGCAACGGCATGGGAACACTCACCCCCAAATACACCGATCTTGGCAAGACTTGCAGCAGTACATGATGAGCTGCATGAGTGGGACAAAAATGTACTCAAGGCTCCTCGTAAGAGAATCAGGGACCCGACGAAATAGGTTGACCGTATATTAGCTGGACCGATGGATGAGCATACTACTCAGCGCCAACATGAAATAACAACGCAGTTGGAACTTGCGTTGGAACAGGAAGAAGTGTACTATATGCAGCGGAGTAGGAGTGATTTCCTTAAGTATGGGGACCGCAATACAGCGTATTTCCAGCACAGTGCATCAACTAGGCGCAAGAAAAATATAATTGTGAAGCTAAAAGATGCAACTGGCGTTCTTAGAGAAGGAAATGAGGAGATCAAGCCTCTGATACAATCTTATTTTAACGAACTCTTCACATCAGAGGTCTTGGGGACCGATGAAACCTTGCTAGAAAGAGTTACACCACGGGTCACTCAGGTGATGAATGATACTTTGCTCAAACCATATACGGCAGAGGAAGTTCGAAAGGCTATGTTTAGTATTGGCGATTTCAAGGCCCCAGGTACTGACGGGCTGCATGCAGTTTTTTATAAAAAGTTTTGGTCTGTCGTGGGTGATAAGGTGACAGAAGAGGTTCTGAACGCCCTCAATAGCCGTGTTATACCGGAGGGGTGGAATGATACAGGAGTGGTGTTGATACCAAAAGTTGATTGCCCTGAGCTTATTTCCCAGTTTAGGCCAATAAGTCTTTGTAACGTCGTCTATAAGGTAATCTCTAATGTGCTATCTAATAGATTGAAAGTATTATTACCAGATATTATCTCTCCGACCCAAAGTGCCTTTGTGCCGGGGAGATTGATTACAGATAATGTACTAGTGGCTTATGAGTGTTTCCACGCGATTAAGAAAAAGAGACAAGGAAAGAGTGGCTTGTGTGCGGTGAAGCTCGATATGCATAAGGCCTATGATCGCGTCGAATGGAATTTTCTCCGAGATATGATGACCAGATTGGGCTTCCATAGTTCATGGGTGGAGATGATTATGGCTTGTGTTACTTCTGTTAATTACATAATGTGGTTCAATGGAGATGAAACAGAGGCATTCACTCCTACAAGGGGGCTCAGGCAGGGAGACCCCTTGTCTCCTTATTTATTCTTAATCTGTGTTGAAGGGTTATCCAGTCTATTAGCGCACGGAGAGTTGATCGGTGGTATCCAAGGGATTAGGGTGTGCTGTAGTGCACCATCAGTTTCACCCTTGTTATTTGTTGATGATTCCCTTATTCTGATGAGGGCGGATACGTTGAATGCCACGTCACTCAGAAATGCTCTAAACATGTACTGTGCTAGCTCAGGACAACTGGTTAGCGATGCAAAATCCAGTGTGTTCTTCAGTCCCAATACTTCAGTGGAAGTGGGAGCGGATATCTGTTCACAACTTAATATTGTCTCAGAGGCGATTTCGGATAAGTACTTGGGGTTACCGTCAAAAGTTGGAATTGACCGAAGTGACAATTTTCAACATCTAGTTGATAGAGTTTGTGCACTTATTAATGGGTGGATCTCAAAAATGTTATCAATCAGTGGGAAAGAAACTCTTTTGAAGGCGGTGGCACAAGCTACCCCGGTTTATGCCATGTCGGTTTTTAACATCCTGAAGAATTTTTGTAAGGCTATCTGTGATGCTATTGCTAGATATTGGTGGGGTAACACGCAAGAAAAAAAGAAGATCCACTGGAAGGCGTGGTGGAAGATGTGCATTCCTAAGAAAGAGGGAGGTATGGGCTTTCGTGATTTACATTGTTTTAACAAAGCTATGCTAGCGAAGCAGTGTTGGAGGCTACTATCCGATCCAGACTCTCTATGTGCCCAAGTACTACGGGCGAAATATTATCCGGATGGGGACTTGATGAATGCATCTTTGAAAAAAAGGTTCATCGTATACTTGGCAGAGTATCATGGCGGGTATGAAAACCTTCAAGCTAGGGGCGATTTGGCGACCAAGGAATGGTGCTTCAATTGATATTTGGTCTGACCAGTGGATACCACAAGCCATGACCGCAAGGTAATGACCCCTAGGGGGCTATGTTTGTTACAGAAAGTCCAGGACTTGATTGATCCAATTTCTGGAAATTGGGATGAGCAGCTCGTGCGTGAAAACTTCTGGCCGGTTGATGCAGAGAGGATATTGCAAATTCCGTTGTCATCTCATGGACAATCAGACTTCATCTCGTGGCATTTTTCGAAGTCAGGTTGCTTTACTGTCCGCTCAGCGTATCATATTACATGGAAAAATGAATATAGGACATGAGCTCGGTTGGACTCGGGAGGAGGCAGAATTGATCCACATCCTGTGTGGAAGTCTCTTTGGGGAAGAACTGTCCCTCCTAAAGTACATGTGTTCAACTGGCGGGTGTTACATGGGATCGTTCCGTGCTACTGCACATTAACAGATCGTCATATGAAGTCCCCTGTAATATGCCCAGTTTGTTGAACTACCCCTGAGGATCTCCGCCATATGTTGTTTACATGTGACAGATCCAAGAAGGTGTGGGAGGAACTCGGTTTGAAACCTACCATTGAAAATGTTGTAGCACAAGAGAGGTCAGGTTCAGTTACTTTAGAAAAGCTTCTCTGTTCGGACCTCGAGGGAGAAGGATCCCGATTGCAAATGGAGTTGAGATGATTATGGTAGCAGCTTGGTATCTTTGGTAGGATCGTCGGAAAATTAGCCACGACGAGAAGTGTGGCACCCCGGTCCGTACATCAATGAGTATACGGGGCATCGTTGCTAATGCTCTCGCTATGAAACCAGGGGTAAAGGACAGAAAAGTGAGGTGGGAGAGGCCTGCTATGGGGGTCTTAAAGCTTAATGTGGATGCAAGTTACCATGCTGATGAAGGATCAGGAGCAATGGGAGCAGTAATTCGGGATTGTACGGGCGCTTTTATTGCAGGATGTTGTTATTATAAACAGCATGCTATGGATGCACCATCCATGGAGGCTCTTGCTCTACTTGATGGCTTACGCCTAGCTGACAATCTGGGCATTTCAACTCTGGTAGTAGAGTCTGACTCACTAGAGATTGTCCAAGCTATCCTTGACCCATCAGATTACCGTGCTTCAGCGGCGGTTGTTACTGATGACTGTCGAAAGTTATTGACTGCGTTCGGCAGGGCGACTGTTGTTCATTGTGCTCGGGAAGATAATGCGGCAGCATATGGGCTTGCTCGGGCTAGTTACAGAGGAAATTTTTCTGAAGAGTGGCGAGATAAACCTTGTGATTTCTTGCTCCCCTTACTTGTAACTGATATGTTTATTGTTTAATAAAGGTTGCCAAATCTCAACAAAAAAAAAAAGCTAACCATGTTCCGCCCGGCTTGGTGAATTTGGTAATGAACGATTGTGATAACTCAATTGGTTAATTAATATATGAGGTGGTATTCAATTCTTTTTTGAGAAAAAAGCGACGCTTACTTGAATTCGCTATCTGAGTCATGAATTCGCCTAAACTGTAGGAAACGGAACAAATGTTTTTCTCAGGCACAGTGCACTGAAGAAACAAAAATATGCCGGCTGAACCGATTAAAGTGAGGTACAGTACTAAATATGGCTATTGTTGGCAAGCACGCAGAATTTGACCAGTACAGCTTTTCCCTTGGGTAATCGATCCAGTACATTCTGCAGTTTGGTTAGCATGCATGCAGACGGTAGGATTGAGGTGGAGATGGAGGGCTGTGCAAAAACCCCGGCCGCGAGAACGACGAGCCACGCCTCCTCTCTCCGCTTGTTCCTCTCCGCCAACCATTCACCAGTACAATCCTCTCCACCTCTCATTCTTCCGCCATTTCCCTCTCTCTCTTGTATAATCAATCAAGGAGTGGTCTGCTAGGTGACCGAGCTAGGCAGCAGTCCGGCGAAGGCGATGGCCGCGTTGTTCACGGCGAAGCTAGGGCGTCAGGCGTCCGGGTACCTGCAGGACAAGTACAAGCAGGCGAGGCTGGCCCTCGGCGACGTAACTCCGGCAGAGCTGTAAGTTTATTCATTCGCATTGCATAATTGCATTTGCATCTATGTATAACTCAACTCATGGTGAATGCATGAATTCGGCCGTAGGGCTGTGCAGGAGGCGACCAACGACGACGCGTGCGTCCCGGACGCCAAGACGCTGGCGTCCATCGCGGAGGCGGCCTTCGACATCGACGACTACTGGCGGATCGCCAACGTGCTCCACCGCCGCCTCGGCTGCGTCCACGACTGGAAGGAGTGGCGGCCGGTCTACAAGGCGCTCGTCGTCCTCGAGTTCCTCCTCACCCACGGCCCCGAGGAGCTCCCCGGGGACTTCCTCCCGGACATGCAGGCCCTGCGCGACCTCCGCGGCTTCACCTACACCGACGACAAGGGCTTCGACTGGGGCGCCTCCATGCAGCGCCGCGCCGACAGCGTCGTCGGCCTCCTCACCGACGCCGACCGCCTCAAGGACGCGCGCCAGAGGGTCCGCTCCCTGTCCTTCTCCCACGACGGCGGCGCCGGCAGCCCCACCTCCTCCGTCGCCTCCTCGGGCTCCTCCCGGGCCTCCCACGGCACCTGGTCCTTCGCCTCCTCCTCGCCGCACTACTCCGATAGCCCCACCTTCGTCTGCCTCTGCGGCCCCAACGTCGACTACCGCCATGACAAGAAGTTCGACGCCTACACCGCCGACGACAAGCGTGATCTCGTCGACGACCAGGAGGTCGACGACTACCCTACTCCGCACAGCCAAGGAAGCTGGCTCGAGGAATCGGCCTCCTTGTCCGGCTCCCCGGTCAGCTGCGGCAGCGCCAGAAGCGCCGGCGGTGGCAGGAGGGCGTCCGGCTTCAATAGCTTGTCTCAGCCTGAGAGAAGGAACAGCAGCAAGAAGCTCCAGCGCCAGCTTTCCTTGCACTATTAATTAATTTTAGTTGCCTTATTCATTCATCGTTCATCCATCATTTTGTTGCTGAAAGAAGTGTATTAATTCTTTGTTTTGCTTACTAGATTCCACCCGCTGCGCTAGCTGCTGGTGCAAGTACCTCAATCACCTCAAAATTTAGCAGATTTGTAACATCGTTTTCATTAGCCATTAGTCTCTATGTTGAAAGAGTTTCTGTTGAAGAAATAGCTAGGCCTACAACTTTTCCCATGTCTTTTTGTTTGATGTCGATCTTGATTTTTTTTTTTGGAGTATTTGATGTCTTGATGTTGGAAACCTTATTTTGAGATTTGAAGGATGGCATTTGCTAACATGGTTTTTCTAACAACAAACACATCTTTAATGGAAATAAACATAATCTACTAGTAGGGATGAAATGTAGTGTCGGTCATTTAATTCACAAGAGAACTACTCCCTCCGTCCCATAATACTAGTAAGCGTGCACGTGTAACACACGTATAATCATAGGAAAATACGAGATACCATGCAAATCACTATCTAACAATAGCACACTTACAAAAAGTTGGACCATCTCAAGGTTTTCTTCTAGCTCTGCACCAATACTTTTTACTGAAAAAGAATCATACACGCCTACCTACGTATTGTATGACATAGCCATAAATCTGTCTTAAAATGATACCATGAATCTAGTGAATCCACAATGAATCTTTCAACTGAACTAAATCCACGACAAGAATTATGGGACGGAGGAAGTAATATTTTTACATGCTTTGGGATTGTGAAATGGAATAACGATAAGTTAATCTTAAGGCTCATAAAAATATAAGAACAAAAATTACCTACAATATATAGTAAGACAACAGTCAACTAAAATGGTTAATCAGATAACCATATGAAGTTATTAACTTCCACCTTCTCATCATTCAAATGCACCCTCTAGGAGCAGCAGTGGATAAACTGAATCGTTGCAAGCTAGTAACTAAAATAACCCCACAAACTACAATAAAAAACTAAATCCATGATAAGAAAAATATAAACTGAATACCTTGTAGACCATGCCACATATGCTCAAAATAGATAAACGGATCAACGTGACAGTAGGTTAATATATTAGGGCAAGAATGAAGTGGGTATATGGGGTAGAGCAATCAACGTGTTGGGTCAATAACTGCAGGGAGTCAATCGCGGAGGAGGCGGCTGACCGGTGAACATTTACGATATTTTTTAGGCCACAAAAAGTGTCTGGGACCAATTAAGTCATTCCCAAAAACAAATATGAGGCGAACCTGATGGATCATCACCTCAATTTTTGCCACCACGTTGTATGTGATCCCCTAATTCGAGTGTGGTGGATTGGTGCAGACATTCCTCCAAGCCAACAAAAACTGCATTCAGTTTCAGTAAGGAGATACATGATTAAAGGAGTATCAAACACTCACCTCTATGTTTCAAGTAGAGGAAACAATTCCTTGGAGCTAGTGGTGCGTAAAAAATATTTTCTATATATTATAACTTGTACATGATGTTTCCTGTCTCCAAACATTTATTGGCATGATCAACATAGCATAGCTATCAAGGATCAAGTATTTGCAATGTAAGCGGCAACATTCCACGAAGCTACGAAGCATTCAGTGAATTTGCATTGATTCTGAAGAGATAGTGCTATTTAAGAATGAGGTCACAATCAAAAAATGTTGTGCTAGTCAACCAAAAAGATTAATCATAGGATTGTGAGTCTATAGTGCAAAATTGGAAATAATAAGCAGTACACATCCCAATTTCAAATTCCTAGCAATGCTTTTCATGTAACATTTTCATAGAGTACATATGAGCCCATAAAGACATCTTACCATATGTCATGATTATTAACTATGAACAAGAAACTAAAACCAACCTTCTGACAAATACGGCATCGCCGCATTACAAATGATGGCCGAGCTAAAATTAAAAACATGAGAAAGTAAAAAATACATGTATGCTATTGGTAGTACCATCAATCCAGAACAAGATCATAATTTTTTTTCAAAAATATATACGGCCACAAAGAAAAAGAAAATGGCGAATGCTCTGTAGAACACGAAACATATGCTCAAAATAAAGATCCGAGCTAACAAGACATGGGCTGAATAGATCAAGGGAAAATCAGTTACACTCTTTGTTAGTGATATGGATATGTCTTAGTATATCGTTTTGTTAATTATTTGCAGGCCTATATATTTGCATGGAGTCCATGTCCAGCTTCTGACGGCATGTAAGTAGGCCAAATGAAATTGTCATGTGGAATGCAATGTATACAACTCACATGCATGCACATTGTATCCTTTCCCTTACCAGATTCTAAAATGGACTAAAGCATTAATAAGAATTCCTCTAGCTTACATTACTTTGGGCAATGGAGAGGGTTGTAGGTCGCTTCCTGTTGTATTCCATTATCTTCTCATCAGACACTTGGACATCCCAATTTTGACCCCAATTCAGTTGTTCTCGCAGATTTTCACCTAGGGCATTTGCATTCCCATGATTAGGCGTGATTGTCAGGTCCTTAAATGGAGAACATTCTTCTGATCGTAATGGAGATGCAGGTGGATGATGATTATTCATCTGTGTGAAGGTAAATCCATGGGGAAGTGAAGAAATCAGTACACGCACATAATTGAGCATAAATACTCGCTCCTTATTGATGATGATTACTTACGAGAAAGGATATGGGTTTCCTTGGCGCTCCAATTGGTGAGGGATTTTTTGCAGAAAGAGCTCCATGGGCATGTCGTGGGAGGCATGGAGGGCCGTCGGCGACGTGCGCGGGTAGGCGTGGAGCGGACGCGTGCTGGGGGCGGCCGGGCGCGGGGGCGCGCAAGGCGGCGTCTGGGACGGGGACTGGCGGGGGAGCAGGGGCGGCCGGACGGGCGCGGACGCTGGGGAGGCCGGGCGCGGCGGGCACTGGTGGAGGAGTGTTGGATGTGGTAGAGGAGCAAGGGCGGACTGGGAGCAGGGGCGACCGAGCGCGGAGCCAGGAGCGGGGCGGAGGGGCGGCTGGGCGCGTCGGATGCAGCGGGGCAGAGGAGGATTAAGCGGAGGGCGTGGGTTGCTGCGTGGAGGAAAGTTTAGTGGCTTAATCGTACACTAACCGCATGGTTGATGCTAAACATTAAACATTGAGATGATTTTGATCGTCAGATCTCTCCATTAGATGGTTGAGATGTATTGGTTCTCCGCCCTCTCGTGATTTTATAGGGGTAGTAGATAAAAGCGTTTTTTTACACTAGTGTAGTGTAAAAAACGGTCGTTCTTATATTATGGGACGGAGGAAGTATTTCATAAAATTTCAGGTATGGCAAAACCTGCACAAAACTAACAGTGAACAACAATGGAACAACCTACTGCTCCCACAAAAAAGAAGAGCACAACCAATTAAAAACCTCCGCCATTTTACATGATTTGAACAAGAAGGCACAAAAAAGGGAGATCAATTGTTGTAGAAAATAAGTTGGCAGATGATAAGAGCATCTCCAACATCAACCCTATTTTAGGGCATAACCATTTATTGGGCTATTGGATCCGCTCCAACAACTGCCCTTGCTACAAAATTTTGCAAAACGTTTTTGGGCATCCCAAAAAAGGGCAACGTCGGCTGCGTATTTACGGTAGTCTCTAAAAACAACTAAGAAAAATAAATGAACTCACCCTCTAGTCAACATCTCGGGCATCTTTGATCCCTACATTACGGCGGATTCGGAGGTCTTAGAAGGAGAAGCTCAGCGGCATAGAAGAAGGGTAGAAATGGATATGTGTAGTTGTCGCTTCGCTCTGCATCTTTCTTTTGGTCTATTGGGGTAAGGAGAAAAGGAATGGATGACGTGAGCACGTGCGAGATGAGTGGGTCAGATCATGGCACGCGTAACATGCACCTGGATGAATGCTTCTTGCCTGAGAGTGCCACGCCATCCGTGCTCAGAGATTCGAATCATAAGCTTGTTGGCATTTTTGAGAAGGGCTGCCCTCCTAACGCAAATAAGAATTCAAATCATAAGCTTGTCGATGCAAAGTGTGCGCTACTATATTAGCATCACGTGGGCAGTGTTGGAATGAAACCAACTAGATCTGAAGGCCTTATGGAAGCAGTCGGCTACAATTCTAAAATGAAACCAAACCAACTCTAAATGTCTTGTGAAACAGTCGGCTAGAATCACCGCGAATCGACTCTAGATCCCGACTATACCATCGCATGCTCAAACGAGTCTTGGCTCAACAATCACCGGAGAGCATCGCAAGATTATAAATCACTTCGAGGCCCCGTTGTAATAGAAAAGGAATGGATGACGTGAGCACGTGCGAGATGAGTGGGTCAGATCGCGGCACGCGTAACATGCACCTGGATGAATGCTCCTTGCCTGAGAGTGCCACGCCATCCGTGCTCGGAGATTCAAATCATAAGCTTGTTGGCATTTCTGAGAAGGGCTGCCCTCCTAACGCAAATAAGAATTCGAATCATAAGCTTGTCGATGCAAAGTGTGCGCTGCTATATTAGCATCACGTGGGCAGTGTTGGAAGGAAACCAACCAGATCTGAAGGCCTTATGGAAGCAGTCGGCTACAATTTTAAAATGAAACCAAACCGACTGTAAATGTCTTGTGAAACAGTCGGCTAGAATCACCGCGAATCGACTCTAGATCCCGACTATACCATCGCATGCTCAAACGAGTCTTGGCTCAACAATCACCGGAGAGCATCCCAAGATTATAAATCACTTCGAGGCCCCGTTGTAATAGAAAAGGAATGGATGACGTGAGCACGTGCGAGATGAGTGGGTCAGATCGCGGCACACGTAACATGCACCTGGATGAATGCTTCTTGCCTGAGAGTGCCACGCCATCCGTGCTCAGAGATTCGAATCATAAGCTTGTTGGCATTTTTGAGAAGGGCTGCCCTCCTAACGCAAATAAGAATTCGAATCATAAGCTTGTCGATGCAAAGTGTGCGCTACTATATTAGCATCACGTGGGCAGTGTTGGAATGAA